GATAAAGGCCTCGAAAACATAATTTCCAACATTTAAAACACCCTCCAGCATATATTTCAACAAGGGGCAGCAAAGGAGTGCAAGATAAAGGCCCCAAAATGTAATTTCCAACATTTAATATGATTTTCCAGCATGTATTCCAATAAGGGGCAGCAAGAAGTGCAAGATAAAGGCCCCAGAAACATAATTTCCAACATTTAAAACACTCTCCAGCATGTATTTCAACAAGGGGCAGCAAAGGAGTGCAAGATAAAGGCCCCAAAATGTAATTTCCAACATTTAATATGATTTTCCAGCATGTATTCCAATAAGGGGCAGCAAGAAGTGCAAGATAAAGGCCCCAGAAACATAATTTCCAACATTTAAAACACTCTCCAGCATGTATTTCAACAAGGGGCAGCAAAGGAGTGCAAGATAAAGGCCCCAAAATGTAATTTCCAACATTTAATATGATTTTCCAGCATGTATTCCAATAAGGGGCAGCAAGAAGTGCAAGATAAAGGCCCCAGAAACATAATTTCCAACATTTAAAACACTCTCCAGCATGTATTTCAACAAGGGGCAGCAAAGGAGTGCAAGATAAAGGCCCCAAAATGTAATTTCCAACATTTAATATGATTTTCCAGCATGTATTCCAATAAGGGGCAGCAAGAAGTGCAAGATAAAGGCCCCAGAAACATAATTTCCAACATTTAAAACACTCTCCAGCATGTATTTCAACAAGGGGCAGCAAAGGAGTGCAAGATAAAGGCCCCAAAATGTAATTTCCAACATTTAATATGATTTTCCAGCATGTATTCCAATAAGGGGCAGCAAGAAGTGCAAGATAAAGGCCCCAGAAACATAATTTCCAACATTTAAAACACTCTCCAGCATGTATTTCAACAAGGGGCAGCAAAGGAGTGCAAGATAAAGGCCCCAAAATGTAATTTCCAACATTTAATATGATTTTCCAGCATGTATTCCAATAAGGGGCAGCAAGAAGTGCAAGATAAAGGCCCCAGAAACATAATTTCCAACATTTAAAACACTCTCCAGCATGTATTTCAACAAGGGGCAGCAAAGGAGTGCAAGATAAAGGCCCCAAAATGTAATTTCCAACATTTAATATGATTTTCCAGCATGTATTCCAATAAGGGGCAGCAAGAAGTGCAAGATAAAGGCCCCAGAAACATAATTTCCAACATTTAAAACACTCTCCAGCATGTATTTCAACAAGGGGCAGCAAAGGAGTGCAAGATAAAGGCCCCAAAATGTAATTTCCAACATTTAATATGATTTTCCAGCATGTATTCCAATAAGGGGCAGCAAGAAGTGCAAGATAAAGGCCCCAGAAACATAATTTCCAACATTTAAAACACTCTCCAGCATGTATTTCAACAAGGGGCAGCAAAGGAGTGCAAGATAAAGGCCCCAAAATGTAATTTCCAACATTTAATATGATTTTCCAGCATGTATTCCAATAAGGGGCAGCAAGAAGTGCAAGATAAAGGCCCCAGAAACATAATTTCCAACATTTAAAACACTCTCCAGCATGTATTTCAACAAGGGGCAGCAAAGGAGTGCAAGATAAAGGCCCCAAAATGTAATTTCCAACATTTAATATGATTTTCCAGCATGTATTCCAATAAGGGGCAGCAAGAAGTGCAAGATAAAGGCCCCAGAAACATAATTTCCAACATTTAAAACACTCTCCAGCATGTATTTCAACAAGGGGCAGCAAAGGAGTGCAAGATAAAGGCCCCAAAATGTAATTTCCAACATTTAATATGATTTTCCAGCATGTATTCCAATAAGGGGCAGCAAGAAGTGCAAGATAAAGGCCCCAGAAACATAATTTCCAACATTTAAAACACTCTCCAGCATGTATTTCAACAAGGGGCAGCAAAGGAGTGCAAGATAAAGGCCCCAAAATGTAATTTCCAACATTTAATATGATTTTCCAGCATGTATTCCAATAAGGGGCAGCAAGAAGTGCAAGATAAAGGCCCCAGAAACATAATTTCCAACATTTAAAACACTCTCCAGCATGTATTTCAACAAGGGGCAGCAAAGGAGTGCAAGATAAAGGCCCCAAAATGTAATTTCCAACCCGTGCAATGTCATGAACTTTGTGTATTTGATGTGTGTATGTGACAAAAAGGTCGTGACGATGTCTTCCTAAGGCATGAAGTCCTATTGGGAACTTTTCCTCTGAGTCTTCACAAAATAGCCCATAACCGCTCATTCATAAGACGATGGTCTTGTGCCATAAATGTTAGACATCAAAGAAAAATAAGAAGTGACTGGAATTTCTAAAAATGTGAGTCTCAATTCTAGTTTTCTAGGATGGTCAGTAGGAATTTCTAGAGCTAGAATCTAGGCTCTAAGAAGGAGAAGACAAGACCTCACAAAAATGAGGTCAACAATGGGAGAAATATCATGTATTGTGATGTGGACGAATCAACTAAGGAGACAGAAATCGAGCAGATAGACCCCAGTGGTGGTGGGATCTATTCTGAAAGTCAGCTAAGGTTGTATACGTGGAGGAAGAAGCAAACCAAGGGAACAGATCTTGCAGTGCCAACATGTCAATTGTCCCTAACTTCCCTAACTATTGAGACACCTACAACATCCACCTTTGATTCAAAACTTAGGTGATATTATTCCTCCTCCATCTACTCCTACCCCCCCCCCCCCCAAAACGTCAGAGGGAGGACCTCTCGTAGCAATGCGAGACATCATCCTGATTTTTTTGGGTGGGAACTTGACATTACAAACTTTGTTTCATATTCTAACATCTTACATTAGCATGGAGCATTCATTGCATCATTGGACTTTGTCTCTATACCTTAGTGTTGGTAGATTATTAAAGATGACCTCAAGTGAAAAGCGGCGATGCATGATGAGATTGAAGCTCTTGATAAAAACCGAACACGGGAGAATGTAACACTACCAACAATGAAGAAAGTAGTTTGATGCAAGTGGATCTTCATGATAAAGAAAACTCTAGAAGGAAAGATGAAGAGGTACAAAGCACGACTAGTGGCAAAAGAGTACAGTCAAATGTATGACATTGACTACGATGAAATATTTGCACCTGTAACAAAGATGAGCACTCGTGAGGACAATGGCTTCTCTGGCAGTGAATGATGGATAAAGACTCCACCGACTGAATGTGAATAATAATTTTTCTTCATGGAGAGCTACTGGAAGAGGTATATATGCAGATACCACCGGGAATCAATACATCCCAGACAGTGGGTAGGGTGTGTAGGCTCAAGAAGTCACTATATGACTTGAAGTAGTCTCCTTGAGCCTGATTTGATAAGTTTAAGATGACGATGGTTGGAATGAGATACCAGCAGATCAATGCAGACCATACGGTATTCTTTCGACAACATTAAGGTCACACTGTCATGCTTGTTGTGTATATAGATGACATAATTATCACTGGTAACGACGAGGCAAAAATTACTCAACTGAAGGAATGATTGAGGCAGCAATTTGAGATAAAGGATCTGGAACAGCTCGGAAACTTTCTTGGATTGAAGTGGCTCATGGACCTGAGGGGATAGTCTTATCCCAGAGAAAGTATGTACTGGATTTTCTCACGAAGACATGTATGCGGGTGTGCAAAGCTACAGTCTCTCCAATTGATCATAAGTTCAAGCTCAGAGTAGAGGCAGGTGAATCAGTTGATCACGAGAGGTACTCATAGGTTGGTGGGCTGTCTAATCTATCTATGCCACACTCAACCCGATACTCCTTTTGTAGTAAGTGTAGTGAGCCGCTACATTCATGATCCATATGGATGCAACATATCAAATTCTAAGATATCTGATAAGTGCACCAAGAAAAAGGTTGATATTCAGGAAGAATAGGCATGTAAATATTGAGGGCTTTTGTAATTCTAACGGAAAAACTATGCTGATGATAGACGATCCACATCTGAATACTGCATGTTTGTAGATGGCAACTTGATCTCGTGGAAAAGCAAGAAATAGTCAGTTGTAGCAACATTAACAACGTAAGCAGAATACAGGGCCATGGCATTAGGAGTTGCTGAGGTGATGAGGTTGAAAGCCTTGTTGGTTGAACTCAAAGTGGATAAGGGAATTCAAATGAAGTTGTGGCATGACAACAAGTCGGCAATCAGCATTGCTAACAATCTAATGCAGCATGATAGAAATAAACATGTGGAGATTGATAGATTCTTCATCAAGAAGAAGCTAAATAACATACTGTTGGAACTAAGTCATGTAGCTACTGGAGAGTGGGTGGCTGACTGCCTCACTAAAGGACTTAGCACTGTGGAGTTAACTGGATTATGTGACAAGATGGGCTTAGTGAATATATTTCTCCCACATTAAAGGGGAGTGAGATTTGTATCTAATGTAGGGTTCTATTTATAAATAGAAGAAGTCAAGTGATTTACTTGTAAATGTTTTATGGCTCTATATAAGCTAACATGTTAATGAAACGAGTAAGTTTAATTGCAAAATCATTCAAATTGTATCTCGGCTTTAATCTTTATCATCAGCGTGGTCACCATCCACCATGATGAGTGTTGTAAAGTCAATACCTAGCAAGGTCAACCAATGGATGAAAATAAAGGCTGAAGAAATGGAAAAATACTTTTGATTAATTACTATAATAAAACATAATGCAAATCATTCCCACTAAAAGGTACTTAGGAACTATTTGTAGTCTCCACTTCCTAAAAAAAAAAAAATACTAATAACAAGCTTAAATACAAAGTAAGCAATAACTAGGAAATTAAGACAATAAACATAGAAGCGGACACTACATGGAAGGCCATCTAACATAAGATTAACTCAAATAACCACAAGGCCTCAAGCTCATAAGCACATACACAACATCAATGGCGCTCATTACAGATAATGCTGTGCTTCCAATGAACGAAATGTAATGTAGGACCTGCTTCTTTTAAGAGAAGATAGACTTTTTATTAAGAAGCTGACCACACCAAGCAAAAGCATTAAAAAGAATCATTATACCTCCCTAGTTTGCGTTATTGCTCCATCAGATGGGACAATGGGAACTTTCTGGCAAGAGAAAGAAGAGCAGAATATCAGGTCAGAAATCATGACAAGACAATAAAAGTCAAAGCCAACAAAAGGTTTCAGCATACATGAGGCTTCCATCCATGCTCGTCTGGGCAACGGAAAGTAGCTTCATTGACAGCTTGGTTCTCAACAGCAAACTTCATTGCACCACTATTAACTCCAAAATGCAGCTGCTAAACCAAATTCTAATTGATGGTCATGTACGAATGATCAGTTAGAAATAACGTGAATAAACTAGATAGGACAACTGCAAAAAAAGACAAGTGCAATTTTTATATGTAATTCTTTGTTGTTGGAGACCATGACTGAAATCTTTATATAGCTTAGAATGATGAATTCTGTATAAATAAATGAAAAATAAATAAATAAAAACATATGATTAGGCTACAAGGAAACTTCTATCTGCCACATAGAAAAAAATTAAAATGAAAAAATAGCCATCAGGGCATCTTAGTGCCACATCACATCGGGATTTTGACAGAAAAACATTTCTATTTCAAACATCATAAGGTAAAATCACGAGTGTATAAGATTGCAGCTGCCATTTCAGAATTAAAATTATAAATTTAAGAAAGAGGCAATCTTTTGAAACATTATGCAGATTCAACTATTTCAAGTTTATCATTAAAATCATTAAAAAGGTAATATAAAACAGAAAGGCTTAAAATGCAACACAGATCAGTTACTAGAAATATGTGAAACCAGTTCGTATTAGGATCATTTCTATCATATGTTCAGCGAGTAATGTACATGGTAATTATAAGGATGATAAAGTGCCCATTGATAATCTAGGTTGAGATAATATATTTCTTCAGTTAAGTTATTACAACCAACAGAGTGAATAAAAAGCTAAAACTTTTGAGTAACAAACTACAAAAACAACATAATAGTATGGTTGCTTGAAACTAGAAATCATGTTTTAAGCAAAATGATGAAATTTCTAGATTCCATCATTTGGATGGGTGTAGATAGCTTTCGACCATAAAATTAACTTAAATCCCTCAAATGTGATGATTTTATTTTAAATCCAAATGAGTGAAAATAAAATCATCACTTCTTAAAACATGCAGTCAATCTTCAATCAACCAAATGAGCCTTTAGATGAGTTTAAAACTTGAGATGAAGTTGGAAAAACTTAAAAGTTTTCTCATTTGGCAATTGATAGCTGTAGATCACTCAATAGAGAATACCAAAGAATAGTTAATCTAAAAAGAAAAAAATAGAGTTCTGAATGAGAATATCTAAAATCGTCACACAATCAACCAATTAATTGACCTAAGATCCTCCTGATTGGTTGCCCCAAAAAATTGCATGGTGTATGAAACATTACGGATTTTAACTGCACATTTAAAAGGATAGCTCAGCAGCTGGATATAAAATACATGTTAGAAACTTATCCTATATCACACCACAGACCATTCGATTAAACATTCAACAAAAATTTAAGGTGAGGATGGTAGATGGACAACGAACCCAAATAACACTACCAGAACTTGGGAATTGATTGTTCTGCCCACTCAAAGAAGTTTCCAAAATTTTGTAAAGTTGTTCAACTGCCCCTTCTCCAGCAGTGTCCAGAACAGAGCAGTTTCCTAGAAGAAGACCCTTTGGTAATCCCTTTTTGTCCATATATCGTCCCAAATTATTTACAATGGTTTCTGTAGGATTCTCATGGACACCTTGAAATTTCTTAAAGCCGGTAACATGAACAGTCAATACTGGAGGCCCTTCAGAACCCATTGATTAAGAAAGAATGTAATAGACTGACGCTGTTCAGCACTTGAATAATTCAAGATGATGGATATTGCAGTCACAAATATATTAATGACGTTTCTTCCTGCAAGAATGGAGAAGTTGGCAAAATGAAATACAGCAAAAATAAAACTGCAAACATTTTTTTTTTTTTTTTTTGCTTTGAAAGTTGGAGGTGTTGTTCCATGAAAGCAAATGCTAATCAAGTAAACATCAAGCGCACGCACAAACTATAGCAAACTAATTTTGAACAACTGAAAAGGATCAGAAGAAAGAGGCTTTGAAAATGTTACATCTAACTTTATGCTGTGAACAAAAAACTCACAAGCAAGTATGATTAACTAAAAGGGTAGGAAAAAAAAGTTAAGATATGACGAAAAAATGAACACTAGAATTTATATGGCTGGGCCTAAATAAAACCACATTCATAAGAAAATTAGAGGATCCAACCCACTAAAAACCACAATCATGATAGATTATAAAAATGCAATAGTCAGCTTTTCCTAAAATAAGAATGAAGCCCGCTAAATAAAGAAAAAGAAGTCTTAAATCTCTAACACTTGTAAGAGAAAGTAACACTGAAAAGATAACAAGAAAGAAGGATAAGCAAATGTTAATAATTATCCACTTAAGAAGTTTCTCGAAAATGTTTCATCAATTCACTGAGACAATATTTTGAACACCTAGAAATGAAGAACTTGGTATTCCTATATCTTTCTTTTACCTACTCCGCCCACTCAACTCTCTTCTCAATTCCTCTCAACTCTTTCATAGAAAAAAACCTCAAGATTGTCTGATGATTCCATGACACATAAGCTTTCATACAACTTATTTAGCCACCAACCCAATGTAAGACTACCAAACTAATGCAAAAACTCATCCCACCATATAATTCATGTATGATACCAAGTCAATACCGAAAAAAAGAACAATTAAAAAAGAGTAAGGCTAAACAACTAATGAGATATAGCACCTGAAAGTAATGATAAAATTAAAATAATTTACATACATAGCACGCAATTCTTATGCATTTACATATCTCACTCCTAAACTTTCATATTTACTCACATAGTACTCGAATCTTTAATATCACATTAAAATTAGCACAATTAAAAAGTGAAATACCCATTTTCATGCATAGGTTTAAAACAACAAAGTGCTATGTACGTAACAATGTACGTATAGGTGTGAGAGATGTAAACACATAAGAATTGTCTGCTACGATGTAAAATTCCGTTAAAATAAATAGATTTAGTCGTAGAAGGCCAACAAATTACCAAAAAAGTAATCGTGATAGCAAGTGCTAAACAAAGGCATGTGAAAGAGTTGTTAAACGTCATAGGGATCCCAACAAAAGTGCTTAGCTTGGTAAAGGAACTTCTAAAGAATACATAAATATAAAATATGTTAAGCCTCAGAAAAATGATTGCTGCCGTAAGCCATCAGAAAACTATCAGAAAGAGATTCAATAGACATATGTGTGTGTCAAGCTGAACTAATAGAGCAATAACGATAAGAATCCATAGCATCTCCTCCAGATATTGCAAGCCAATACAAAAACGGTGTCACAGATTCGACTCACAAAGAGTATAGACCAGCAGTAGAACATTGATGTCACAGAAAAAAAACGTATTCAGCAAAGCATGCCATCGGACCAGAACTAAAACTTCAAAAATAAGATTGGACCAAAACCCATGAGGTTAGAAGCTATTCAATACAGTCATCGTTTAACATGCACCAAAAAGGCGGAAAAAAAACTACCTTCTCCCTCCTGGAGAAGGAAATGCAATCGTGCTTGAAAACTGATATTGAAAAAGCTGGTCCAAAGGGAAATAATGAAGACCAAAAAACCTGAAGGGGTTGGAAGACGGGGCACTTTTGTTGGAGAGCTTCGGAATAACAAAATAAAAATTTCGATTTCGGAAATCGTGAAGGATGAGTTCACCGTACAAATAATATTTTTGGAGGATTTTTTTTTTCTTTCTTTCTACTTTGTCGTTAATGTGTGTTATATCACTATTGCATAAATATTAGTGGCTTATTTTATTTATTAGATCTCGCTTGTAATTAATTTTCAATTGCATTTCATTTATGGACCCTTAGTTGGTATCTTTAAAATGTATTAATTTAAAAATATAAAGTAATTAAATGTTATGTGTCCAATCTTGGTTTGCCCTCTAAAATACATCTTTGGGATAGAGTGCAAGATGTACAGCTTCAGAGAGAGGGCATTGATGAACATTTTCAGAGGGAAATAACTATTTATTTATAAAATATCCCCTTTTTATAATCATGGGAGGGCATTGATATAGTTACAATTTTACCCTTATTTTAATGAGGAGTTATAAATCTTATTTGCCTTTATTTAATTAGGGTTGTTACTCATTAGATTTTTTCCTTTTAGATGCCCTTTTACTATTATAAATAATTTTGGTTAATTTATGGATTTATAACTAATTTCGACACCTTTTGGCACTCATAACTGACATAAAAACATTTTCGCGCCAAACTAATGTTGACAACTACAAATTCTATGTACTCTGATATGTATGTGGTATGCCTTTAGATCAGTCTACTCAACTAAGTTGGGTTGGCTTGTTCCTCATAAGTATCAATCAGTTTTGACTCTGAGAATAAGCGTCTTTTAAGTGATTTTCGGTTGACTCTAAACCGACCGGTATCGTTATCTTCGATCCAGGAGATTATTCGATAAATTGGTGGAATTTAATCTGATCGGCTTTTGATTGTTGGGCCGGTTAATCTTCAGTCGATCGACTCATCGAGCCCTTTAAATCTGACAGGGTCATCAAATTTCACCTCTCCCCTTTTAAGCAGTTTGATTGTCATGAGATTCGTGCTGATAATTTTTCTACATACATATTGTTTCCCCAATTTTCTTGCTTTTTGAAGGCTGTGTTGCGATAAGAACAAGAAAATCTTCATGATGGAAAACTTCATCTATAATCTGAACCGTTTAATAAATAAAAAATTACTCCATGGATTTCTATGTCGCATTTCTTATAAATAAGATTAATGAGGTTTTCTTTTTTACTACTTTTTCTATAAACTCCAATCGACACCATGTATAGTATTGAAGCTCAAGTTGATATTGATAAAGAAGTTCTTCGTATGGTTCTGAGAGAGATGAGCGCTCTGCCTATCCAACGAGTGGAAGGTTAAGGCAGTAATTAGTTGTAAAAAGAAAAAGAGATGACCTTGAGCTTGATCAGCGTAACCAAGTGGCTTTGTCTGGGGATCCAAGTGATGAACTACATGATATCTCGCGGAATGATATACAAGCTATTTCGATGGTCGAGGAGTAGCCCCTACCAACTGGCGCTTCAGATTCTGGGGTTAAGGGAGCTTCGCGGTGATTGGTGGCTCTAACAACGATAGTGGTAGAGTCGTAGCCAAATTTGTGAGTGGAAGGTATTACTCCGGTTACAACCAATGAGGAGGGTGATCCGACTACTTCTTTTCCGCCACGTATTGAAGTGCCTCCGGTTGAAAATTTTATGGAAAACAATCCTGAGCCAACTGGCAATAATCTTCAACTGATTGGGGATGACAGTAGAAAAGTGGTAGAACTATTGTGTGCTTTCTGAGAGACAAGTCGAGGACAATGATCCAGTACCTAATGCTTATGCACAGTATAGCAACAGTTCTGATGGTATTTTTCACTTATATTTCCTTATTTTGCAACAAAACGAAAAACTTGATCCTGAAGTAAAAAAAGAATTTAACTTTTTTATTTATATATATTTTATATTGGGATACTACGCAAGTATACGAATCATTATCAAGTAATATAGGACTTTTTGATTAAGACCTGAATATCAAACCCACAGAGAAGATTATGACATATGCACTTTTTAGAAAGTTTTCTATTTTTAAAAAGATAATTACTTAGAATAAAAACGATTTTTGCAGGAATTTAAAATTTAAATATTTTTTGTATTTTTGATATTTTAACAAAACAGTAAAAAGATAACTAAAGTTTTTATAGAAAAAAAGTATTTAATATGAATATATCTTTCTTCTTATTATAAATCAGTAATAAGTATAGAAATTATGTTGTGGAAGTATGCAAATTTTATTCTGTCAAATAGGAGCAATAATATTCTTTACCATTACTAGAGATGCTATAAAGAACATTGACTAATTTAAAGTTTGAATAGTTCTGAAGACCGACTAGGCAGGGAAGATACTAGCTCTCACTCTAGAGTTCCCTCAATTCCCTCCACCTGGGGGCTAACATTCTCGTATCAGAACCTAAAACAATAAACCAAGTTGGGGGTTTTAACCTGTCACTTTAAAGTCCTCTAACTCTACACCCACCAAAGAATATTTCCCTATTTATTTGCACTCAATCATATGAACTATATTCTCATTCATACAACCTCATGTGATTCTTTCCAATTGTTGACTGAGACAATACCAG